TTTGGTCTCATAAGAGATTGAATGAAAGGAGGACAACAAAAGGAGATAAGGCATTTGTATTGTTGTAGGGCGCCCTTGAAGTATTTTATATCCTGATCTCTTAATAGAGATATCATATAAAGGCCAGGAGCGTAGTAACCCTAGTCATTGCCTAGAGTACTTTACAAGGCTTTACTAAGCGCCGATTCCGAACCAGTTGTGAAAAGCATAGAAGAAAGAGAAGAGGAATGCGATGCGGTCGGGTGTTCGTAGTATTTAGCTAACAGCTAACAGGTATATAAACAAGGTGCGACGGTCGTACGTGTGCCGGTATGTCGCGAGCCGCGGGCCGGCCGCTGTCCACTAACCAGATAACGCGCGCCCCACTTTCCCGCTTCCTTCCTATGACACACTTGAGCTAGGCTTCTCCGCAACTTACATTATATCATTTGTTATTACTTATTAGATTTACAACCCACTTACATTACCTACACCTCTTATAATAAAAATAATAAAAACTCATGAAATCTCCCTTACTTAAAACTTTTTCAATCATGCAAAAAATTGTTCACCATAAAGAGTCAATAAACCCGTTTTTGATAAAGAATATCTTGCAAATTTCCTTTGGATAATGGTGAAGTAAAACTGAATGAACTAGACAAAAAAACAGGTTTATTTTTATATGCTGTGCATAAAATATTCAAGTAAGGTCGATAACATGAATTGTGTAAAAATACTTTAATAAAAATAGCAAAATCTTAGAGCTGGCTAGCTATCACACAGCATAAACAAAAACCAAGGGAGCAAACTAGAGTATGCAATCATGCTAATGGCATTATTTTACCAATTATGTTCACATAGCTACAATACATTTAATAGAGCTACACGCCATAAGAGTATGGCGTGTAGCTCTATTAAATGTATTGTAGCTATGTGAATGTGTGTATGTGTGTGTTGCAACTTACTATAGAATATAGAGATATTCTATAGTAAGTTGCAACAATGAATGGACTGATGACCTTCCAACTTACATCACTTTGAACTTGCGTCTATTCTGTCAACGGAGACCAATTTATGGAGCATGCAAGCTTTTATTTCAAATAAAAAACAAACAAGCAAACTAATATACTAAAACAAACTAAAACAAAATCAGCTGAACTCAAAAAACCAAAAATCAAATCAACAAAATAAATACAAAACTTAGCTACAGGTTAAAAAATTAAATAAGGGAAAACCAAACGCAAACATTTGGACTAACCAAGGCATTATCATTTGCGCCTAAATCAAGCGCGTTGCTAATATAACCCAGTATCTGGAAAGACAAATGTATAAAGAAACAGGTTTAATATTTGTTAGGTGATTAACAATATGCTCATGAATAATTCTTGCTACAAAACTGATAGTGATAAGCTCAACATCTACACAAAATAATATAAAAGGAGGTAAAATATAGGTATATACAATACAAGGAGTTTGAAAAAAAAGGCGGACACAGTCTCTTGAAATAACGACTGTGGCACCTAGGTACTAAAGACTTACAGGTAGAACATACACACATTATCAATTATCGTGAAGGACATCTGTCATTTTCTTAACTCTGGTAACCCATTCCACAAGGACACTTAAATAACCCATGTACACTTTGGTCTTTCAATTATTTCTAAGTGACAGTATGTCTGCCTTTTTTCATCTCATCCTTCGATATATGCATAGTTAGGCTGTTATTTAATTTAAAAAACTCTACTTAATTTAAAAATATCTTGTATTTTTATTTTAAGTATACAAAATTGCATCCACGAGGCTGGAGAGGAAGAGATAATACTCAGTATCAAACATTTCAGGATGTGATAAACAGTCAATGTCAATATGGAGGACTCACTAAAATATTCAGAGTGAATCATGAATGTTTGTCATCCAATTTTTAACTCACTTTCAAACAACTACTTTACTTGAGTCACAGTTCATTTTAAGTACCCATTATACGCAATAATACACTGCCTATGGTAATTGATAACAATGTTAATTGATAACAATGTTAATTCATGTTTTTTTTAAAAAGGATAATTCATTAATATAAAATACCTAACCGACTATTATTCATATAACTGTTATTCATTCATTCTGTTTAACATAATAAACCTAATGCCAATTTGTTCTGTTAGTAAACTTTAAAAAACAAAAACTGTTTAATTTGTAATAAATACCTCTACTTTCTGTACAAAAATATTATTAATCATGCAAAAACATGCCTTGACAACTTTTAGTATTGGTTACAAGTACCACAAGTGCTTTTATAGATAATTATTATCAATATCAATGCAGCTACCAAGGCATGAAATGAAACTTAAAAAAAAATATATCTTGAAATGGAATAGACTAATATTAATGAATGCCTTCATGATATTAAGCAGCTATTTAATAAAAATATAATGTTGCTAGCACAAATTGCAATGAATATAATTATTACAGTGAAACATATCTGTTTCACTCAAGAAGGATACTTCTTGAGTGGCTTCTTAATTGTTGTGCTATCTTAAATATTTCAAGGTGCATCACAGTTATTGACAATATTTTAAAGAACATCTTCAAGTCAAGTGATGTTAAAGTAGTTGGGCCATAGAGTTCTTGTTAGATTTTTATATGATTGCCACAGCAGATGATAAGAGCAATTAATGTAGTCAATGAGTCATGTACCATTTAGACACAGTTTAGGCCTATTCAAACTCGTTTTTACTTAGTAACAGTACTTTTTCATTTAAATTATTTTAATATGTCATAATGATAATGAGAATTGATTAGACAATTAATTGATAATTTGTTTTAATTTCTACAAGACAACACACAGACTGTAGTTTATACTTAGTAAGGGAAATTAGTCCAGTTTATTAATTCTAGAGTCTAAAGTTCTAAATTCACATACTCGATTCTTCTGAAGAAAGGTATTTTTATTGTTCAAATGCAAGTAGACCATAAAATGCGATTGCATTGAATCAATTGATAATAAAGTGCATTTTTAATTTATGTAACAACATTCTATTGCTGTTTGTCCCTGCATACAGGCTTTATAGAATTGATAAGTTACTTGTAAATTAGTAGATATATTTAATGTTACATGTCACTTTTTGATTAAAACTAAATGATATTAGTTGCTACAGCTGCTCAATGTAGATGTCTTTACATAATTATAATCTACCTGTTTCTTATTGGACAAAATTTAGGTTTCCACAATACTGTGTACTTGTGTTATCACAACTAAAAGATAACCCATAATGTAATTCCTCAATATTACGAAATACTCTTATCAATCTTGCGGCAAAGTTACTTTTACTTTCCAAAAGACACATACATTATCATAAATATTTATGCTGTCACCTCAACATAATCAAGACACACATTTAGTTGGCTATCATTACTAATTTTAGTCAATTGTTTGCACTGATCTTACTTGTTGAACATTTCAACACTGTTATCAATGTAGAAAGTTAATTTGGTATAAAAATGTCTCTCCTAAGCCTGTGAAGCGTCATACATGTGTCGTCTGATTACATTGCAATGGTGAAATCAGTAAAAATCACGTATCCACGGCAGAGACAAACTCTGCAAGTAAAAAACCACTAACAAACTACTTGTTATCAACAATTGAACGTAAACAAGAGTACTCACCGATTTCGGCATCTTGGCGGTTTGTGATCACAATCTGCAACGAGACAGAATACATGTAACGATACGATAATTTTGCTCACGTAAATTTCCACCGCGGCTGACGGGTCCTCTGCCGCGTGACATTACACATGAAATTGTGACTGAACGCCTACTTGTACACACGCACAACGTTCATTAGGTGCTCTATTCAACGCTATTCTATATATTTTCACACAAAATAATCTTGCTCGTATGATGACAATAAAATTGTAGTCACCGGGCAGTCGGCTGAACTTAGAAAAACGTTAAATAAAAATTCAAAGTGTTCATGCCGAATATCAAAGTGGTGTCTTGGGTATTTATAATAAATATGTTTAGATTGTTACTTACCCGGTAATAAAAAGAATATCACCTAATAATCCACATAAGTAGAACAACACACATAAAGAATGCACACACCCTTGAGTCACAAAAATATCGCGATGTGACAACTGCCTGCGTGACGTGGTAGCCGATGTTGTTATCACAAAACTATCACAATCTGCTTTAATTTTATTACTGAATTCCGACCGTAAAGAATTAAGTTAAACTTAGTAAACAAGAAAAAGATCATAAAACTGACAAGAACTAAAAGATTAAAATGTAGCTTTGTGGACATGTACAACGTCTAAGTTTAAATAATATTTTCCAATAAACCTACCAATAATTTATTGATTTTATAATCTAGTAACATTTTATTATAAAAATCAATTACACGCAGTATTATTATGGAAATATGTCTGAGTTTTAGGCCAAAACTTGCATTATTATTGATTTAATTATCTGAAATTTATACAACGTTACGAAAAATTTGTTAGTGTCAATATTTTAATTTTGGCAATTAATTTTATTTTGTTAGACTCTATTTGTTTAATTTTAGGCTATTGCGTAAATTGAAACATGGTCAAATTCGTTTAGGAGTTCGAGGTCAACGATTCACTGCATCCACTTTACAAAAACAATTAAAATAATGAAAATACGCTTAGACAGAAACAAATCGTTAAATTTAATTAATTGAATTTTCAATTTTAGGCAATCAATTGTATAGAAAGCATTTCATATTACAAATATTTCATCCATTTCGTACCTATTTCAAAACGAAAAATCTGTTGTCATTATTGAAAATTATTGTCATTTTATTATCGTAAATTCGTAAAGAATGACAATGAATGAATTCAAAGCCAACTGGAAAAGTGAATTTGTCTATTAACGTAAATAAAACAATAATTTTGAAATAATACCACAAAATTAAATACAAGTGACTAAAATGTGCAAGTGTTATAAGTTATAACTTCATAATTTCATATGTTTATAATCTAGGAGTCGGTAACCTCAACGAAATGGCATCAACGCCCTTTCGTAGATTGCTTCATTGGGGACCATTGTCGGTGTTTGGTAAGTTTATTACCTTCAGGAGTCATAATTACTTTATATTTTCATCAGTAATAATTTATCTTCTGCTAAAAGCCGGGAACTGACGAAAACAGGAGCATATGTGTGAAAGTTATTTATAGCTCTCGTTTACTTTGTGGTAAACAAAGACTAAATGTGCGTATATTACATATTTTTAATTATATTTCATAAGTATTTTAATTCAATTAATAAGTTGGTAAGTGTCAAAGTTGGAAACTTACTGACCTCAGTGATAAACTGTCATAATTATCATTTCAGGTATAATAAAACTAATAACATGGGCGATGGTCCACCTGCTGGGCATGTGGTGGCCTCCACACTCATCACTGGCAGCTGCCCTGCATGCCACACTGTTTCTGACACTGGCTGGCTCCACTTTATACTTCTTCCTTCAGTCATTACTTGAAGGGCCAGGGTTTGTTCCACTGGGTTGGAAACCAGTGAGTACACCTGTGTTTAATTATAGTTTACTAGCTTTTACCCGCGGCTTTGCTCGCGTCACAAAAGCTTAAAAAGTAGCCTATGTGACATAATACCAATACACACAGTGCCATCTATACCAATATTTTTGTTTTCCCTCGGGAATATCAATTTTTTCTGGGTTAAAAAGTACCCTATTATTTAATCCGGACTTCAACATTTACGTCTGCAAAAATTCAAAGCAATCGGTTTAGTAGTTATGACGTAAAAGTGGAACAAACAAACAAACTCACTTTCCCATTTATAATATTAGTAAGGATAATGTTGATTATCACTCTGGCTATAATTCTGTTTTTTTTTTGTTTATCTATATAATTTAACTCTTTAAAATTAGTATAGTATTTTTTGAGAATCGAGCTACACGCAACAGAAAAAGTGTCAAATATTAAAATTCATCTAAATTAACCAGAAAAATAACTGCTAAATCTTGTCTGTTGAAAGATGCACTAACCAATGTTTTGTATTTTGTTTTTCATATTGGTAACGGTTTAATGCCCTGAAGGTAGGCCCTGCGTTTGGGAACTTGATTTAGATAGACGAAGTCCATTTTGGGAACCACTGTGTCTATGTATAACAAACAGTAGTTTTTTAATTTCCTGTTATTTATTTTCAGGAGAATGAAGAGGACACATATAATCTACAGTTCTGCACAGTTTGTAATGGATTCAAAGCACCGAGGTCACATCACTGTAGGAAATGTAATTATACCAACAATTATTTCAATTTATACCAACAATTTGTGATAAATGGTCAAAGTCAAAGTCAAAATCATTTATATCAATTAGACCAGGAAGGCACTTTTGAATGTCAATAACAAATAGTCATTACGGTAGGCCTTGGTGTTATTAATATAATATTGATAATGATAGATAATAGATGATGGATAATGTATTGTGGTATGTAATAATTTAATTAAGTTCTTGGTTTATAGAGTCATCTATTTTGTTGTCAAACTGGTTACCAAGCGACTTCAAATCTGTTTAAGGTATTTGGAACCGCAATATGTAATTAAAATCCTATGTATCTAAGTGTTCCCTTGTGGACTAACTCGTTTAAGGCTGGGAATATTCTAACCCATTCTAATGACAAATAAGAAACAAGTTGTTTGTTTCTGATTGGAAATAAATAACCATACCAACCTACCATAGTAGTATTAGTTGGTCTATTCAGTATCAATGTATTATCAAGATTTTTATTGTGATAACATAATACTTTTTCTTATATCATTATGGCATGACCATGACCTTGCTGTGTCCAAGTTTCTGTCTCATAATTATTAGTCTTATATTCCAAACCTCACCACTATTTAATTACTGAACATCTCCAGGTGGGTACTGTGTGAAGAAGATGGACCACCACTGTCCATGGATCAACTGCTGCGTCGGCCACAACAACCATGGATACTTCACCTTGTTCCTCATATCCGCTGTGCTCGGCTGCTTCCATGCTTCTGTTGTAAGTTATTTATTGGCAGAACTCATATTGGTTATACTTTATAGTGTTGTATTATGTTAAAAGTTGATGAGATTACATAGGATTCCATATTAGACTGAAGGTAGAAGAATTTTTTGACAAACACAAAAATAACAGCAAATTTTTATAGGATAGGAGAATAGGTGGGCAAAGGAGTACACGGGTCACCTGATGGTAGGCAATCAACGCGGCGTCCATACTCAACCGTAAAAACAGAGCAGTTAAAAGTGCATTGGCCTGGGGAGAGGAGTGTACTACTCTGGCAATGTTATATTTTCATATATTATTTTGTTTGTACTTAATCCTTATATTTGCAGGTGCTAACAATCTGCATGTACCACGCAATAAACCGCGTGTGGTACATGCACAACGGCACAGGTCGCGAGCCCATGATATACCTCACGCTGACGACACTACTGCTGACCCTGCTCGCTATAGGCATGGCTGTGGGCGTCGTCTTAGCTGTAGGAGTACTTTTGTATTTACAAGTAAGTATTTTTAAGTGGTTACACAAAATTGTACTTTATGTTCTAAGTTAGATATAGCAACAAAGTATTTTGCACCTTAAGTTTAAATACGTCAAAGTTGAAAATAAAATAAATTAACAATGCAACATTTCTTAAAATTTTACTTCAATCAAAAATGCACTTTACTTTATACACAATAAAATTTTATTTTCCTCACAGTTGCGTGGTATATTCCGTAATCAGACGACGATAGAAGACTGGATAGTTGAGAAGGCGCAGGGTCGAAGGGAGGAGCAAGGTCTGCCAGAGTTTGTATTTCCTTACAACTTGGGGTGGAAGAACAATGTCCAGTTCATACTGCAGGGGTCCAAGCGTGATGGCATCAAGTGGCCACTCAGGGAAGGCTGCGGGGAGTATGATCTTACGGTGAGTTGTTTGAGATATATACATACTTGTGTTTTAATGTGTTTCTGAACTTTATTGTCTGACATTCTTGTTTACGATTTTATCAGTTTATCAAACTTTAACGTGTTACAATACTTAATCTATCCTTCTACACTCAGCTACCATAGGTGATCTTTACCGATCCATACCAGACGATTTTAAGCTTATCGATCTATCGGATTGGTAGGCCGTCGACATTTCAACGATCAAATTGTAAAATTGTGTATTGTTCTGCAATCAGATGGTCTTTATGACATGGTTGACTTATGATTTACTCACTGTATCTATTATGCAGTCTGAGACATCCTAATTTTTTTTTTCAAAACGTTGCTCCACACTAGGATAATCGCCTGTGTCGTGGGTGCGTTTACAAACATACAAGTTCACATACACATGACACCCAGACCCGAAACAACAATTTGTGGATCACACAAAGTGTTAATTGTATTGAGTCTCATTTCCAGCGAGAGCAACAAGCCCAGAAGCAGGACAAGTTGGTCCGGTCGCGGCTGTACCGGGCGCTGTGTCCGTACTCGGGGCGCTGGGTGCCGCTGGTGTCCCGCCCGCGCGCCGCGCTGGCCGCGCCCTGCACCGACGAGCCGCGCCTCGCGCTGCGCCCGGGGGACGTCGTCAGAGCCACGCGGCAGAGGAAGTCAGTTCAAATGCTTTTTTACTATGAATATTTTTGTCTTCATTCTGGCAAGTTTCATATTAACTAGCCTTTGATCGCGATTGATAAGTTTGAAAAATGTTAGTATTAGGTTTTTGCAACGAGGCCGCGGTATTTTATTGCGGTTTATCCCCAACCTCGATCGGGTATCAGTCCTACTGGAGGGCCCCATCTGTGGATTTATGATCCTTTGAGGCATGCAGAATGTAGCGACGCTCGAGGTCTCAGTGCTTACTTACCTATTTATTTGTCGATTTATATAAGAATTGTCGACAGGTCAGAAGCATGGCTACTGAACAAGATGTCCAAGTGCTTACCCCATATAATTGCAAAAAATTTAATTTAAATAACTAAACAAAGAAGTAAGATTTACTTTAAACATGTTTTTGATATTATCTTTATCTATAGTCATATCATACTATTGTCTTTTTCCAGGCACTGGTTATTCGGCGAGAAGTTAGTGGGGGAGGGTGAGAGCGCGCGCGGTCCACGCGGCTGGTTCCCGCGCGACGCGGTCACGCCCTGCGACTACCTCCACAAACCCAAGCCCGACTAGCTGGGACACTACGTCTGGACAGACAGACTGGTATGACTTATGTATAGATATTAGACGAGGATTAGTTAATAAATGGAGTGTGTTAAATGCTAAATGTAGATGTGATATCTTTGAGTTAAATTTTATTGTCTGTCATGTTAAACACTGTTAAATACATGTCTTTTTATATAGAGAGTTAGTTCATAAAGCGACACGCACAACTATAAAATTCTAAATTCATAAGTAACTGCGTCGTCGAACTCGCATTGATCTTGGCACTCCATTTATTGACTCCTCTATAAATAAATTATTATGAATCATGTTAAACATGAATGGTAGTGTAGTGTATGAATTATATTGTAAAAAGTCAGTCAGTACTGTTTTGTAATATGGTTGCTGTACATAATATACAAGTTGCAAGTATTATAGGCAGGTCTAAAGTAATTGTCACTATTTGTCTCGCATATGAAATTGTATAGAACTTTATTTGGTGATTAATACGTAAAATCTTTCTCCTTCAATAATTTGACTACAATAAACTTGTTCCTATCCTATATGCTACTCTAATGTGTATTTGACGACAAGCAACGATCTCAAAACGTTGAATTTATTAGTTTTTACTATTTACTTTCATTACTAAAGTGTACATGTATGTACAAGAAAGTACTTCTCTATTTGTCTCAATGTGTTGAGATGTCGTATAATTTATTTTTCTATTTAATTAGAAGACAGGTTACTAATAAATGGCGCCTACAATATTTTACAATAGAGTGCACAAAATTAGGATTTTATTGAATCCATTCAGGTTTCTCTAAATTAATATTGTATGATGTTTTCCAGACTTGAAAATATAAGAATTGCATGCAAAATCATTAAAGTGTAGTCTTCTGTACAGAAACTATCGACGACTATGAGTTAAGATAACGATAAAGGTCAATAAAAATCATCATAAGTTAAAGTACTATCGACAAAATTAACAGATATCCAGTGAATAAGGCAATTGATTGTGACTCGTACAGTCATCGTCGAAAATTGGCAGTATGAAGTGTTCATCCAGTGTATTCGTTGATTGTGCTTTACAAGTTTAGCACTATATTGTGTGTTGTGTACTGTGTGCACGTTTCAAAATGCATTTAGTCGTAAGAATTTTTATAAGAGTTTACGAGTCATAGAGTTTATACCAAGTAATTGTTATAAGAACTTTAAATGTTAAGCTCTTATACGGTTGTTTGTTATTTTATAATTTTATAACAATATATATTATTGTGATTAAATAGTTGTGATGTAAAAGTAATCGGTTTTATATCAATAAAACTGTACATAAATAATCCGGTGTTTCTTTTTTTTAAAGTAATAAAACAATAGTTTATGTGTAAAAAGTCTTTATTGTGCATTAAAAATAAATTATTATTCTCAAACACACAAATGCACTTCTCCGAAGCGTAAAATTAGTTGTCAATAAGTTAGCTTACGATATAAAATGATATAACTATACATCTAACTCTCAAGAATGTTAGATTATCACGAATTCCTTTTTAAAATTAATAAATGCAAATTATTTTGTTACAATTCACAGTTTGTCAAACTTTATGTTTCATCTCGTTGAAAGTATTTTTGTCTCAAAAGTTTGCACTGCGCACACGCTCGTCCAAGCTCACGTTCTTACGTACTACATTATCAATGTAAAAAACTTCTTACTTTATTTTGACGACATTGGAAAAAATATGAATGGATATAATCACGAAGTTGGTACTCGTTTACAATTGATCATGGAAACACCAGATGAAATGTAGCTGTTGTACATTAGTAAAGTTATACCAAATCAGGGCCGTCCAAGCTACATTTCAAGTGATCGAATGACTGGACATACAACGGAGGAATAGGTAAAAAATCGACTAAGTAAAGTTGACAAGACGATACTTCGAAAACGCCGTATATCCAGCCTGTTAGAACTTTGTCATTTAGTACTCATTTTCCTCATCAAGTTCGCCCTCAGTGGAGTCCACTCCGACCTCTTCGTAGTCCTTCTCAAGAGCAGCCAAGTCCTCACGAGCCTCAGAGAATTCTCCCTCCTCCATTCCCTCACCGACGTACCAGTGGACGAAAGCACGCTTAGCGTACATCAAGTCGAATTTGTGGTCCAATCTAAAATAATACAGTAACTATATTATTGTTTCGGAATGGAAACGAACACGGAACGTCATTACATTATAAAATCATGATACATACCGAGCCCAGGCCTCAGCGATGGCGGTGGTGTTGGACAACATGCAGACAGCGCGCTGCACCTTGGCCAGGTCGCCGCCCGGCACCACCGTCGGGGGCTGGTAGTTGATGCCCACCTACGGACGAATGGAAAGTTATACAGCTGAACTAGAATAGGTACCAATCAGGTATGGATATTAAAGGGAACATCAAGTTAGACAGGATAATAAAATAAAAAAAAGATGTACTTGAGTTTAGTGATATAAAAGGGGCGTTACACTTTTGATTCTTAAAAAATATGTATCCAGTTTCGTCGCGGCACTCGTGCGAACGAGTCGTGTTGTAATTGTTTACGTCGATTTGACGCACTAATCGTCTGACCATTGATAAGCAAGTACCTAAGAGCTTAGAAAGGTCCCGCGCGGGGCAAACCGGTTTGCCACCGGCGCGCTATAGATGCAACGTGTCTGCGAATACAATGAGTGATACAAATGAGAATTACGATGAAATAAATGATGAGAATATGAATGAAGTTACAAACGAAATTTCTACTTCAAATGAAAATTTAGACAATTTAGATAATCCAACCAAGAAGAGAATGAGGGGAAGCAGCGATGAAGAATGGACAGAAGTAACACGAAAAAGCAAAAAACTTAAGGATATAAACAAAATAGAAGTATATATATCCAGTAAAGAAAAACTACCAAAACAATTTAATTTAGCCAAGATATTTAGAGACCAGAATATTAAAGATATTATGAGAGTAAAGTTTACCAATCCATACCGAGTTCGTATAGAACTGGGTAATGAAATTAGTGCGGAGAAATTAGAAACATGCAAATACTTTCTTGATCAAGGGTGGAATATTCACAGAGCAATGGAGAATAGTATGTCGTACGGAGTGATACGAGATGTTGACTTGGACATGTCAGAAGAAAACATTTTGGAGAATATTTTTTGTCCTGAACCAGCTAAGCTAATTTCAGTTCTTCGTCTGAATCGCAAGAATTTTGGGGAAGATGGATGGTCACCTAGTGAAGCTGTGCGCCTTGCCTTTAAAGGTTCCTTTCTACCACCATATGTGTACACTCATGATTTGAGAATAAAAGTCGAACCATATGTATTTCCGGTTTCACAGTGCTCACGTTGTTGGAGATTTGGCCATGTACATAAAAAATGTCCTAGTAGCAAGGTGATTTGTCCCAAATGCGGAAAAAATCACGAAAATTGTGAAACTTCTGATATGAGATGTGTTAACTGTGGAGGGAATCACATTTCTCTCTCAAAAGTATGTCCAAGCTTTCAAAGGGAAAAAAGATTGAGAGAACTCATGGCTGAGTTTAATTGCACATATCGAAAGGCCCTAACTATATATGCACCAAAAGAACCTAGTAAGGAAATCAACATTGAGAGATTAAGTAGTGAGATACATCCCACATTGGAAGAAGAGAACTTTACGTTTCCCACAAATATTAGTAGTCCAGTTTTTAAAATAACCACTAAAGCACAGATACATAAAAAGAAAGGGAAATCATCAACTAAACATAAACTGAACGAGGAAGATAAAACAGATAATAGTTATATGGAGTGGATAGAAGAAGGACAACATAATAATACTGAAAGGAAAAACTCCGTTGAATCAGAAGCAAAACAAAGAGATGTTACTTTCAAGGAGTTATTAATGAGGTTACGAGAGATAATATTCATGAAGGGAAGCACTATACACACAATTTTTAAAGAAGTTATCAAGACGTGTATTGAGTGGGTAATATTAGTATTAGCTGATAATGTAGCGGACTGGCCTATACTCAAATTAATTATGAACCTCCTATCAAATGGCAGATAAGTACTCAAAAATTATTAAACTTAATATTATACAATGGAATACACAAAGCATTCGTCCAAAGTTATGTGATTTTGAGAATTTTTTATTACAGGACAAGATTCACATTGCTGTCTTAAGCGAGACCTGGTTAGAACCAGATAGTAATTTTAAAGTGAAAAATTTTAATATATTCCGTAAAGATAGATACGACGCATACGGCGGTGTAGCAATTCTTACGCATAAATCAATTAAGTCACAGATTTGTCATAATTTTCAACACTCTAATCCAGGAATAGAAATTATACACGTTAAAGTGTACAACTGCAATCAAATTGAAAATATTATTTCTATTTACTGCCCACCTTCAATAAATACTAGCCAGTCTGATTGGGATCAATTATTTTTACAGGTAAATACCAAAACTTTACTCTTAGGTGACTTTAACGGACACCACACCAATTGGTCCAATAAAGTCGACAGAAGAGGTAATCAAATCTTTGATGCAATTATTAGTAGTAACCTTGTGTCATTAAATACCGGGGCTCATACTCGTATTAAGCTGGTTAACAACGTTCTTCAACAATCTTCCCCTGATATTTCATTAGTCTCGACCGACATAAGTCTTAATTTAAATTGGAATGTACTGAATGAGACGTTAGGTAGTGATCATTACATTATTAAAATTACGACATACTTCAAAACCAGTGATTACTATATTTCCCGTCGAAACTACAAAAAGGCTAATTGGGAAGGATACCGTAAAATTTTGAATGAACTGTTTAATGATACTGTTTTAACCAATGATTTCCAAAAAAATTACGACTTATTTACAGATTATTTAGATATAGCGGCAGATCTTTTTATACCATCTATTAAAATCAATATAAATCCAGAAGTCAAGTTTACACCAAAACCTTATTGGAGTCCTTATCTTTCTAAGGTTGTTGCAGAACGCCGCTTAGCACTTTCGAAATTTAGACGTAACCCATCACCACACAATCTCGGAATTCTTCAAAGTAAAATCTCCGAAGCTCAAAAACAAATACGTCGGGCTAGAAATAAGTCATTTCAAGAATTTTGTTCTAGTCTTGACCAATCTATAACCCATAGTGAACTATGGCGTAGAATGAGATGGGTAAAGGGATATTTCCCTCCAAGATCCCATATCGACGACACTAAAGTCAATGAACTACTTTGTAGTTTAGCCCCGGATTTCGTACCATGTGAGAAACCTTTACTTTTTTCAAATAACCCAACACTAGAAGTACCTATAACAATCCAAGAACTGATTAAGTGTTTAAAAAATAAAGATACAGCCCCCGGTTGCGATAAGATCTCATATTCTATGATAACTCAATTACCTGACAACGGAAAACAAATGTTACTCGATTTATTTAATTCGTTTCTCAAAAACTCATTTGTACCTAAACAATGGCGCGATATAGTAGTTATACCAATCCCTAAACCAGGCCGCGACCCTTCTTTAGTTTCATCTCTGCGGCCGATATCTATGATCTCGTGTGTATGCAAATCTTTCCATAACATTCTACTCAACAGATTAGAGTGGTATATAGAAAAGAATCGTATGCTACATCAAAATACGACTGGGTTTAGAAAATGCCGATCGACAGTAAACAATCTCACCAGTTTAGTTTCAAGAATACAAACAGGTTTTTCTAAAAAACAAAGTACAGTATGTTGTTTTATTGACTTAGATAATGCATACAATAATGTGGATATTTATAGTTTATTAAGAATCATGGATTACTTAGGAGTAGGACAAAGAATATCTGATTATGTTTGGAATTTTTTACGATCTAGAAATTTAAAAATTAACACAGACAATTATTCACTGTGTAGAACTACTGCTCGCGGCCTGGCACAAGGAGATCCTTTTTCTCCTTTGCTGTTTAATATAGCTACAATCAATATTTGTAAAAAGATAAATAATGTTAGTATTTCTCAGTTCGCAGACGATTTTGTATTATATTTTACTACCCATAATATTTTAGAAGCAAAACATGAACTACAAATAGCTTTGGATCAATTTAACAAATTAGTGGAAAACGTCGGTTTAAATATTTCATCAAGTAAAAGTAAAATATGTATATTTAAAAACGGATTTAAGAAAGATATTATTAAAATTAATATAAATAAAAGTACTCTTGAAGTAGTTGACACATATAAATATTTAGGATTATGGCTGGATCGTTCTCTAAGATGGTCCAAACATATAAATGAGCTGAGAGATAAGATGTCGAAATTTCTTAATGTGTTTAAAATACTGGCTGGCCCAGGATGGGGAGTACACCCGACTCATTTGCGACGGTTATATATTGCCATTATACGTAGCAGATTAGATTACGCGAGTTTTTTATACCACAACAGTTGTCAAACTAATCTTCATAAATTATCTAAAATACAGAATCAATGTCTGAGGGTCATTGGGGGTTTCATCAAAAGTACACCCATACATGTGATGGAATGCGAACTTCATATACAGCCGTTGCATATTCGCAGATATTACTTAGCTGGCAAATGGTATTTGAAGCTAAAGTCTTTTTTAGGTGATAACACCTGTGAAATTATCAACACCCTATACAATAACTGCCAAGGTACTCAGTGGAGACGCAAAAAAATACCACTCTTAGTTCACATATCTGATATATTTAGTAACACAGTTGTCGATGTTGATTGTCATAGCGAGTTGGGATTATTCTCGCTGAACACGTGGATAAGCAGTGTGAACTTGTTCTGTATGATTAACCCGCATATTGAAGAGATTACAGAAGCTAAAAAATTATACAATATTAATCATCTTCGAAGTATTTGCTATGAACATTTTAACACAAATTACTCGGGATATTATACTTTATATACAGATGGATCTAGAATAGGAGATGCGGTTGGTGCGGCATTTTATGATCCTCAAAATAACATAACTTGTAAATTTCAACTTAACCCAAAAATATCGACCATGCACTCGGAATTAGTCGCAATTTGCGAAGCTGTGTCATATCTTGATTCTATTAATTTTAATAATTGTGTTACATATTCGGACTGTAAAAGCGCACTCCAACATTTACTTAAATGTATAAAGAGTAACGGTTATCCTGTAGCATACAAAATTATAGATAGTATGGTTAAGCTTAGGAACAGGGACAAACACATTGTATTACAGTGGTTGCCCTCCCATATCGGCATTAAAGCAAATGAGAGGGTAGATAGTCTGGCTAAAGAAGCTTGTTTTGACGGTATCCCAATGACACATAAACCGCATTGGACGGATGTTTTAAGAGAAGTTAAATTAAAATGTTACGATAATTGGAATGAATATTTTGACGAAAAGTCGTTGACCAAAGGCATTTGGTATCGCACGATGCGACCGACTGTATATACGTTCCCGTGGTTTGATAATGCCAATATGAGCAGGCAAGAAATTGTGACGAGTTTGAGACTTCGCTCCGGACACATTCCATTAAATAGTTTTGCTGCAATGATGGGTAAAGTAGTGTCACCAAATTGTACGGAATGCGATATTGTTGAGGACGTGTATCATATCATAGTGGAGTGTGTCCGGAATGATGCAGATAGATGTCGGATACAAAGAGAATGTAACATAGATTTTCGTGAATTTGGAATATGTAATTCAAGTCTAGCCTTTCCAACATCTAATTCTGCTAAGATAATTTACAAGTTAGTTCATTTAGGAATTAAACGTAGATTGTAAGTTTCCAATGTTAATATTTCTAGTGTTCCTATGAGGATGACATGTCCGTTATATGAACAAATCCTCAATAATCAATAAAGAATTAAAAAAAAAAAAAATATGTATCCAATATATTACTATCCAAAAATCTATCAGTTGCCTTTAAAAAGTTGTGTGACGTCTATTACTAGAGCTGTTCTTTCCCCAACATTTTAAATTTAAGCAAGGGTCGTCCTTATTACCTTGAATCCTGTGGGGCACCAGTCCACAAACTGGATGGTCCTCTTGGTCTTGATGGTGGCAATGGCTGCGTTCACGTCCTTAGGAACGACGTCACCTCTATCAAACAAACAGGAGGAAGTTACAGACTGTACTTGTCTAAGATTAATATTTGGTCCTTCGAGACTTAGTTGAAAATGTTAGCTACCTGTACAACATGCAGCAAGCCATGTATTTGCCGTGACGGGGGTCGCATTTCACCATCTGAAACAAAAATATCATGAGTAGGTAATTATGTAAAAGTTCTACCTTTGTTAAAATGAGACTGTTTAATGACTTCTCCATTTCATCAGAAAATTGTTCTTTTCACATATATTAATGTATTTTCACCTGGTTCGCGGGCTCGAAGCAGGCGTTGGTGATCTCAGCGACAGTCAGTTGTTCATGGTAGGCCTTCTCTGCGGAGATGACGGGGGCGTACGTAGCGAGAGGGAAGTGGATACGAGGGTACGGCACCAAGTTGGTCTGGAACTCCGTCAGGTCTACGTTCAGCGCACCGTCGAACCTCAGGGACGCCGTGATTGATGATACGATCTGGAAACAGATAATAACTGATTATTGTCACGTATTTTATGTAGATTGCTGTGGCTGTGGCTGTGGCTAGAACAATGGCAAATGGCAAGGGCTCTAGGCTCTATCTTTATGGAATTCCGTTCTTCACCTGTTTGCGGTTTCAAAATCTGTACACAATTTAGCGAGTTATTTTTTGCATAATGCCCTAGATTTGATTAGGTAGAACTGCAGTAAAGTTAACTGTTGAATAGGTAATACAAGAAGCTAACTAAAATCGGATGACTTATGGATCTGCACGAACCTGTCCGATAAGTCGGTTGAGGTTGGTGTATGTGGGTCTCTCAATGTCGAGGTTCCTCCTGCAGATGTCGTAGATGGCCTCGTTGTCGACCATGAAGGCGCAGTCCGAGTGCTCCAGGGTGGTGTGGGTGGTCAGGATAGAGTTGTAGGGCTCCACTACGGCGGTGGACACCTAGAAACCAAATACAATATTTTCAAACTCCAAAGAATACAATAAAGTCACAAGACATAATTATTCAGGTTCAAACTTGGGATGTCTCGTGTTGGTCCGACGGTTTGTAATTACCTGAGGTGCTGGGTAGATGGAGAACTCGAGCTTGGACTTCTTGCCGTAGTCCACAGATAGACGTTCCATCAGCAGGGACGTGAAGCCGGAGCCGGTGCCACCTCCGAACGAGTGGAACACCAGGAATCCCTGGACAGAAAAAACTTATCTTTACGATTCAATTCAAATGTTACATCATCACATCGCGTATTCTCTTTTCTCTTATGTTATTCCCCACAAAATGTATTAAGTTCTTCATTAGTCGTGTCCTTATCCGTCTCATTAATCATCAGGTAAGTATTTCCTCACCTGGAGTCCAGTACATTGGTCAGCAAGTTTCCTGATCCTGTCGAGGACGACGTCGACGATCTCCTTGCCGATGGTGTAGTGTCCGCGCGCGTAGTTGTTGGCGGCATCTTCCTTGCCAGTGATAAGCTGTTCCGGATGAAACAGCTGACGGTATGTGCCTGTGCGCACCTCGTCTGGAGAAGGAAAATGGAGACATTTTAGGTACAATGAAATGTTTGACAGGTATCTAGTATGATTAAAAGATTTGAAGAAGTTACTAATTATCTAGTTTAACGACAAATATGAGAGTTGAGTAGGTACCTAGCAGCTAAGCATAATTTTAAAATGGTTGCATTTTCGTGGGTGAGACAAAAATTGTAACCGACAAAATACCTAATACTGTAGTGATGATACGTATATTACTAATACACAAAACCGAATAATTCTTCGAATTACTCTGAAAATATATGCCGAAAAATGAAAGAAATGATTCAGTGAACAGATGTTAGGTTTCAAGACAAGTTTGAGTCATATTTGAGTCACTGAAAAGACGAATAAAATGAAATGAAGATGAAGTAAGAATAGGAGCACTGACGAAGTCAATTGATATGAACGCTGTACCACTTGAGGGCTAATTACTTTCATCCGAGTTGATCCGAGTACGGCTGCCAATTAAGATACCGTGGCAAAGTGCTTCTTAAGAGCAAGCTCTTACAATTATATTGAGGTTTCCTGTCTTCAAATGCGATGTGATTTCAGATATTCTGGTTGTAAATGCTTAAATTTTGGACAAACTGAAAAGCATTTATTTGTAAACGAATTAGACATAGTGGTAGCTAAAATCGTATCTATTTTTCTTTTTAAGAGGCTAGACCATTTTTTAACCCATTTGGTAAATGTATTCTTAGATACAATACAATGCCAAAACAACAAAATCGAATATACAATCCAGAATATTAACAACTGTATCTATCCATCGCAACAACCATCTCATTACAATACAGCAGGCAATAATCAAATGATTACGGAATAACTGTATTTTATCTTGTAAACCGGGATCTAAGCCCCCTTCCGTATTAACTAGACCGCATTCTATGGGGCATACATAACACAAGGCATTTGATAGAAAAAAGGAATGAAAAAGAGTTTTTGTTTTTGTGAAGGAAGTAGGTTAGAAGTGTTGGAAGGTGCGAAGTTATTTGAATACGGACCAGTGTCTAGTTGATAAATTACTACGTTATGCTGTGGAATTAAGAGCGAAAACAGAGCCAGTGATGTATAACCGACTTCGATGTTGGATTCTATTAAATATAGCGGGGATAAAGAAGGTACGTAGCTATGTACTAAACCAAAAGTAACTAAAATTGCGGGTTACTCACGTGAATATATTGAGAAAAGCTCTACTAGTTCCGAACCATAAAGGGGTTCTACATCATGAGCAGCGTGCTACTACTTACTTACTAGCTTACTATGTATTACTACTACTACTACGATTGTCCTGCGGCCTACGACCGATTTCCGATTTTAATATTATCGAATTCGAATTTATATTTTCATCTTCATCAACAACCGAAAGTGGTCCACTGGGACAAAGGCCTCCTCCTTTTCAAATTCAAGACACATTAATCTATTTACTACCATTCCCCCTTTTCCACAATTAACCTTATGAAAAAGTTACTAAGAGTTATTTTCCTAAACAAGAATGTCGACCTTGACTTAGAGTATTTTCATTCAGTCCATGTAAAATTATTCGTCTGGTCGCTTTTTTCTATATCTACGTAGGTCATTCCTCCAGAGAGGTCAATTTTCGTGCCATTATACTTACATTACAAATGTATAAACTTTCTGACGTCTGAACACAATTTATATTATTATCCTCCTACATATCATACATAGGTAGGTAAACGACTGGTTTGACGAAAGTTAAGTATTTGAAATTGTATTTAATTATTACTCAGTTAAAGTCTATTACGTTTTAGCTTGATTTATTATTTATTCAAATCAGTATGGCAGTTTTGGAGAACATCTTGCATTGCTAAAGTATAATAAAAGTGTTTACCATGCTTCGTTCTGCGATTCAGAACCCTGAGTTTTTTTCAGGAATAACTTATTTAAACAATTAGTTCACGTTGGTTGCCCAACACAGCGTAAAAGCAAGATGAACAGGTAATAGGGATGTCTCCCGTAGTTGTGTGAGGGACCAGTTTAATATTATAAGAGAGGAATCAGGATATTATGGCGATAGGAAATGACGTTTTCTTTTACGACATGAATATTATTAAATAAATTATGTAGTAGTTATATAGTGATAGGTACAAGTACCAGTCTACGCCAACAGTACTAGTATGTATCTGAACAGTTTTTACAATTTCCTCATAAATGTATATCTATGTAACCAGATGGTAGAAATATTATTAATTTCCTTGACAGATGTGATTTTACCGAGCTATAGTGTAATGATAGGCCGTCAGTCGAAGTAATAACGGCTCGGTCCGGGGTTCAATACCCGCGCCGTCTATTATAAATTTCTATTACAATCCGACGAGAAGCCTTCAATTTAAAGCCTCACGAAGCATTTCTTTATTATGCCTTTTTTGTTGTTCGTATTTTTAGCGAGAAATTGTTCGCTCGCAGAGCTTAGCAGAGTGAGCAAACAATGATGCTGTGAACATCGATTACAAATCTTTGTTGAAAGTTAAATGAATGCGTTTTTAATGGATGCGCAATTGTTTAAAGATAGCTTAATGTTAAACGATGTGATTTCCATTGTAAACGAAGGAGATGAGACTTGCATATCTATGTGATCTTCTTGGTATTGGTCGTTGCAAAATGCATCATTTACTTTGCTATTTTATTTTTATCTTCACACACTTTAGAAGATACCTACTGCTTGAAACGTTTCAAGAATCTGAGCCCCGCATTAATGCTCTTTGTGCACTGATTTCCAAATATCTTTACTCACCTACTACAGTAGGCTCCAAGTCTACGAACACAGCCCTGGGCACATGCTTGCCAGCACCAGTTTCACTGAAGAATGTGTTGAACGAGTCGTCTCCACCTCCCAGGGTCTTGTCAGAGGGCATCTGACCATCAGGCTGGATGCCATGCTCCAAGCAGTAGAGCTCCCAGCAGGCATTGCCAATCTGAACGCCAGCCTGGCCGATGTGGACTGAGATGCATTCCCTCTGCGGAAGATGAGCTTTTATTAATAGAGAGTAGATACAGATAAAAGAATAAAAAAAAACATTAAAGTCACTTTTCTATTCGTTGTATACTTTTGTAGAGGTTGTTTAAAAATGAAAGTAGGTTTTGTTCAAGAACAATATCGGTCAAAAAATTATAAATTTTATTTCGTTGGAAAACAAATTCTCCAACACATTTCCGTAACATTAATTCATTTATGTCGTCCAACTACAAACCACGCGTACTTAACAATTTTTAAAACAATATTATGGAATTGGGGCACGAGGTGGTGATGCCATCAGTCCTGGCTGGGTCATTCACCCGTAGTATATCATTAAGGGTGTATTTTATGTTACTGTTACACCTGATCACGACAACAGAAACTGTCGTCAACATAATAATATCATTCTGTAGAAATAATATGAACATAATTGGAAATATTGGTTCAGGTTAGTTTATTGACCTTAATAGAAAGAGGTGAAAGACATTCCATAAATAATAAATAAGGGTTCACTAAAACTGTTCAACAACAAAACTAGATTAATCACTGTCTGAAACCATGAAAATCATGATGGTTAAACGTTACTACTGGAGCTAAGCTATGTATTATTTCTATTCAAAAACTAAACTATCTATTTCTTTAGGAGATTGTTCAATTAATTTGTAGGAGAAGGTTTTTTTAGCCTGACTAGGCAGAATGTATGGAAGAAAGTTTGAGAGTGATAAATGATAGTTGATTCGGCACGCACGAGGTGGGGACACGCGCCTGCCTGTGATCAATAGTGCCAGACCTAGGGATAATTTAGCTACGAACTATTTAAATGCTTTCGACACGAATTCAAACACCACGCACTACTAGGTATTAATGTGGTCGCTGTGTTGAATTGTGGAATACAAATTGAACAGCATTACTGTATAATTTGTATTGGGGATAGATTGAAATGCACCTACTTTTAGTGTGTCTAAGCAATATTCATAAGAAAAATAATTAAATTGGCATTACGTTCCTTAGTTTTTCCCTAGGAGGCATTCCAATTTTTTAAAGTACCAAATAGTTACAAACGTACTTGTTAAACCACAATAGTTAAGCTAATATTCTGGAAACTTTAAAAAATCTATATAGGCAATTTTTTCCTCCCGATATATATGATATAGTATCTATATCATATCATGTCATATCATATCATACTATATCCCGATATAGTATGAGTTTTTTTTAAGGGGGGAAAATCATCGAATGTCTGCCTAGGTGAGGAGGGAGTTAGTGTCAGACTCTTACTCATTAAAAACCACCCCGTTCCTTCTCAAGCACATCGAGCTGGAGCCCCGGTAACCCTTTAGGTTCTCCGCGACAATATAGTATACTTGACAATCGTACCCAAAACAAAGTAACTTAAAAACAATAGGTTGAAGTTTTTGTTTACAGTTCCCGGAATTTTAAATTGGAGCGTGTTCAGGATAAAGTCAGTCGAAAATACCAACATAAGAAACATCGTGAGTCATCAAGTTTTTTGTAAGTAAACCGAACCGTGTCGGTATGTTGCAAATATACCACCAAAACCACAGACCGAAGCCGTGCCTCTAATATTAAATTAATGGTGTTTATAACCACTTAAATAGGTGTTATTGATATACTTGTACCTAATTCTATTTTATGGTCCACATCTTTTGATGATGGACGGTATGTTATGATGGTTCTTTCATCAAAAAACCCACATAATATGGAATTTACAGTAACGATCTTCGATTGAAAGGCACGATAATCGTTATCCAGGAGGTTAACCTGATGCACAACAGTCGCGCTATAGTCAACTTCAGACGAGACAGTCAGCAGTCAGAAAAACAACCCTGTAAAAATAATTATATGCACGAGACATTGCTCATCTTTTACGAGTCTGGGGTTAAAATGGGGTAGAACTTGTACCATATATCTGTAGAATACACGTATAAGTGTATATACATACAATACATAGATAAACCCCACACATCCAGGCTTCCCCCAGTCCATCATAAAACTAGGATTACCCAGCTGCCAACGAAGGCTTTATTTCACGACCACGCGAGGATATAACTTCATTTTAATTTTACGATTTGTTTTCCCGAAGTATTTACTGAAATTTGTTCAAAATACTGTATTTATTAAAATACTAACATGAAATGAGGTGTAAAGAAAATAAAGGCTAGCTTTTTTCTTCTTAAGTTTATATATAAGTGCTACTTAAGATGCAAATCAAACGATTAGAACGACTTGATATTCAAATAGAATTTCTTATTAAGTCACCAATAAGTTACAAACTATAAGGAATGACAGAAATCTCAAGTGCCATTGACTGCATCATTGGATTTCAGCCAACAACTGTTCTCTTTGTCTACGCAGTCATCAAATTATATCGATTTATTGAATTTCAAAAATTCGTACATACTCGTTTCTGGTGTATAAAAGTTTATTAAGTTCGCTAAAAGAAATACATGACCATATTTGTTAAGACTTAATGAAAATCTTAATTGAAACCACGTAATGAGATAAAAAGCCTTAAAAGGTGCGACCTAATAATTAATGCGGAGGTGAGGTTATCAAAACTTTATTATTGGTATCATATTTTATTTTTAAATTGAAGACCATAACGAGCTACTCGACCTATTGTAATATAGATGAGATTCTAGAAATATAATAAACAAAATCAATCAAGCTGCAGTCCAATTTATTTAACTGTCGACTGTCTTTTTTAAAATCTAATTTCAAGACATTAATAAATAAGGAAATATCATAATAAACATTAGGTAACTCCGCGACCGTATTCTATTTATTTACCACAGATACCTTCAAAAACATTTAGCCTCAAAATGTCTTCCAAAATTAATAGAAAAAAAAGAACAGCATTCTCTATTTAAAATTTTCCTGCCATAATTTCTCAATGTTAATAGTTTAGCGTTCGTGGAACAGAGCGTTTTAAAAAGAGAAGGTACGGTATGGTACGGTTTATAAATGAGGATTCATCAATCAGAACATACAGCCTTCGAGGCTTCGAACTGTGTCGATATGTGAAGGGTGGCACATGGCACATATGGTACAGGATGGGCCTAGAATACTTATTCGAGAATTAATGATACTGTATTATATCTTACAGGGTGAATAATGAATGGAAACCCAAAAGAAAATATGTATATTATGTATATATATATTACCCTTTTCTACTAATTAGTAGCAAGGGGTATTTTGTAACTACATAAGTATCTATACAACAAATGTGTCTTTTATTGCACCCAAACGTAGTGGAATTTCACAAATTATTACCATTATAAAACTTTAATTACGCATATTATCATCGTCTACGAAATATTGATATTTTTTATGATAAGATTTCAATTATAATTAAGCTTATTAAAAATTGTAAAGTTAAAATTATGGAGGTAGCAATCAAAAACTTACTGAAAAAATACGTAACTACTAACCGACAACAATAAAAACATAGTTTATCATACTCCAATTAGCTAGTCTAGTCTGACCAATTTATGGCAACACTAAGCTGTGTAATTCGTGTATGACAGGAAAATGTGTACCTATCTATGCAGTGCAGTGTCATTACCGTAGCTAATAGCTGGCAATCATATCGGGGTAATCAGCCCGTTACACTACGTGACACTGGCACTGGGTGGATTAGGTACAAAATAATGCACTTATATCTGAGGCCTGAAAATCTACAATTAGCCTTTTGCCTACCCTATGTTTAGTTGGATGAAAATTGACTGTACTCAACTCTAAAGAGTTCAGTTTTTAGAGAATACAAAACTTTCGAAAAGTATAAAGACCTCAATTAGATAAAAAACAAGCGAAGATTGTGAATGACAAATGAAATAACTTTAGATGCACGGAAGGAGGACGGGGGGGCAAGAATTCTTCTGAATGTATACTTCTGAAGAATAAACTTTACGATAAATTCTATAAAAAAAAATTGAAACATTCACTTAATTTGTACGAGGAAACTCAACTACCAATAAAACTAAAAACCCACGCAAATCACTTACCAATACATTCGATTGTTCATCCAATTACAATTCAACATTACGACTGTTTAAATGAAATCGTATTGGAATCGAATTGCTACAATAAATATCAGTAATTCTATAAAAGGAAACAATTGTAGGCGTTTAATTACAAAGCTACTGAGATCTCCCACTTATGAGGTTAACTGGACAGTCTTTATGGCACCTATTGTCAAATGTGTGGTACTCTTGGTAGTTTACCCGAAATAACTTTAATTGGATCAATTTCGGTCAGGAAACAATTTGATCTTACATAATGGGAGTGTAATCTTTTAAACATTAAGGTTGACTCACATACAAAGATCATCAACTGTTTTGTGTTCTGTCGTTATCTTTTATGACAACAAATTAGTCCTACATGCTGTAAGAACCATTTTAGACCCAAAATCATACATTTGTTTAATGAGAACCGCCAAGATCCAACTCCACACTAACAGAATTACAAAGAAAAATGAAACGTCTTCTAAAAACTTAAAGTTTCTTTTAATTCAAACAAACATCACCTACCAAACATAATCACATAAATATGACCAGTAATCAATGGTCTGACTGCATCATTTGTATCAATGGTTTATCTGTCACGCTTCAGTACACAGAGACAATAGAAGCTACCATCCTTACATCCACGTCATCCGTCGCAATCATCCATACATCCTCGGAGATCGATGAAGCGTCTTAATATTTATGTCTCCTTGTCTTGAATTTTTTTTGTAATGACTAACCCAGGCAGGCAAACGGATGTTCCATTTAACTCGGTAGAAAAAACATAGTTTTATTCCAATAGAATTTAGTTAGGCCCAAAGGGTTATATTAAAAATGGCTGGTTAAAAACTAACCTACTGAAAAAATACTAATTTGCTCTGACTAATTCTTTTGACTTTATTCTTAACCTTCTCCAACGTTCACCGACAATAAGACTGATAGAGATTATAGCGATGTAACAAAGAAATTAGCTTTAGTTACATTCATATCAATGCTACAAGTTACTTATAGAATTACAACTATAAAACATGACTATTTGGCTTTCAAGGTCAAAGTCAAAGCATTTATTTCAATTAACTCATAATTTGGTACTTTTGAAACGTCAACAAATACAAAATAAATAATGTCTGTCAGTCAGTCAGTCAGTCAGTAAAGCTAGGTGAAGCTAGGTGCTCATTCCAAAATGTAGATTCGAAAGGAGAAGAACGAGAAAGAAACTTCATTCGTTACTCTTTTTAAAAAAGTCTCTGATCCATATTCCAATACTGTACGCATATGTGAGAACAATGCAAAGACACGCTTGACGCATTATACTAATTACAAAACTTAAGAAAAAAAATATAGTCTAACATGGTGCTCACTAATATGCATAGATACTGACAATCCATAAAAATTGTGCTTCTATACAAGAAAAAGGAAACTCTCTGTTTCAATAAAGAAAGAAATGCTCGATGCCATAAGGAAACTAGATTGTCTACATTAGAATGAAAGTATCAAATTATTAAATTACCTACTATTTGAATCTAACTACTGACTACATTTGAGTATTGTCCAGTGGAGCCGAACCAATATGCTGCCAAACATTCTTATTTTCAAAATAATCTGTCTGTTTGTAGTAAGCTTGATTACATAATTCGCGCTTAAAGATTATCCTTGAATACACCAAAAAACATACAAAACGATCGGTTACAGTCGATTATTAAAATCCGTAGAATTGCAATAGACAAAAAACAACAATAGCAAGACAGAAAGAACCCATACAAAGTCATTAAGCACGGTTCAACACTAGTGTGAAAAAAATATCTGATATTTTACGGATATACTTAGTGCATCGGGCAGCCCTACAGTATTTGCGGATATCAGTATCCGCCCTCCGGAAGGGAGCTTTTAAGTCGTCGGAACCACACCCTTGATTAGCACTTAGGTTACCATACTGTTATTAACATAGGCTTTGTTAAGTTGGACACTACAGTTTACATAACCTAGAATACTTTTAAGTGTTTAAATATCGATTACAATTTTTTTTCAAACTTTATTGGTTAGCTTTTTGAAGTCACGTTCCTAGATGGAAGTTAATTGTCATTAAAATTTGGTTTTTCCCAGTCTTACTTAAAAACACAAAGGACAAATCACTCTCAAAGGATACCTAAATAATCTAGTTTAAATATGGTACTAGGATCTGCAATAAACGAAAATAAATTTACAACTTTCACGAAACGTAGCCATAACTCACAATGCATCTACGATAATTTCACAAAAATGTCGTCGAAAATAATAACAACAATATGAAACGCATGTCCCCATACGCTGGGTATCGCGTGGTGTAAGCAGACTAGCTATCAAAAGCCTATGATTACCTACACGATTGCAGCAGACACGCTACGCCGGGTCAATGAACTCACACTAATTTCCACCGCCATTTTGGTTGGAAACAAAAAAAACTGACCATTTGTTGTCAGTTGTGTGGTTCCGTCAGTCAATCGATTCTGTTCACTGTTTGTTTGTAAACAAGAACTGGCCAACACTCAAATGGCTGAGGTCGTTTGTAGTTATGTTGGAGATTGCTTCAATTTGGGTTTGTTTATTACCTAAAGTTTGGCTTTCAGTTTCTGTTGCCGTTGACTAACTCTTTCTGACTAGTTTCTGTTCCTTTAAATCAAAACACAGACCAAAATAATGTCCTTCAACGAAGAAACTGATTAAAAACGAAATTATTACGCTCGCGCGCTTTTGTGACGCTCGAAACAAAACGCGGCTTTTCATTAACCACGGAACTCCAATTAAAAGAAATAAAAAAGCAAAGAGTTTAGCGCATACAGCCAGCATTGTCTGCAAAGTCACGGCCAGTACTCTGTGCTGACGAATTGCGCAGTGGAACACTGACTCATCTGTGGCTACTGGTGCTTTTTTAAAAGCAAAAAAATCATCTTGTTTGAATTCATTTTTTTCTTTTCAGTGTGATTTGTTATATGGCCGTCATAAAAACAATATGTTTGGCCAAGACTGGTGCATGATTAAAAGTAATCTATACTCTACCTACTAGAAGTTAAAAGATATTTGAGAATATCAATTCTATTATAACACTTAATTAACCATTACATATGGTATTAGCTCACAACACTTTGTGTTTGTATGTGGTCCTGGTTGCTTATAACCTTGAGTTAAGTTTCATGTAAGTTCATGAAGCCATAAGTTATTAAAGACGAGATTTCCGAGCTTTTATTTCATCTAACAACACAATTATTTCGCATTTACAATACAGACAGAATACATCATTTGCGGATTCCAAATTTTATATCGCTTATCCTTGATAAGCGAAAAATGAGTGCAAAATTGTATGTAACACGCGATGTGAAAATTTAATTAATAAATTGGCGTGTAATGTGACGTCATAGTTAAGTACTACATAATACTCTTATTACCGAGGGATGTGAGGGAGGGACTGGTGCTGATGACGTCATAGGCACGCCCGCCGATGACTCAATGGCTAAAAGCTCTTGTATTTGGGCTTCGGTGTTACGTTACGCACTTATTGGTATTTGGTACAAGTCTAATGATCTAACAGATAGTCTTTTTTGACATATGTGTGAGACCGTTTTTTAATTTAGTGTATGTACCTACCGCTTTATTCAAAGCAGTTTAGGGTCAAGTTAGTCTGTTCATTTTGTTTTTTACTAGGAATTTAAGATTCGCGGGTAACCTTTGTCACTCTACTGTCATTACTATCATATAGTAAGTATTTATGACTGACTATCATATTGTAATGATCTCTTAAACGACAATGTTAAAGGACTGTTTGCATACCTTAAGTAATGTATTATTTACAATAATCAAACATAATACAATATTGAACAGTATAGCCATCTAAATATCGCCTCCCATTCAAACAAAAATTAATGGGATAGAAACTTAATTAAATTGAAACGCGTCAGTTCTAACTCGCTGATAAGTAACGCAGTAAGTGATAAACAAGGTAATCTAATTCTGTAATTAATGTATGACCATCTACCGTGAACATTTGTTTTCATATCTACTCAAAAACGTTATAGATGCTTACCTGTTTATGTATTTTTGAATGTTGAACTAAATGTAAGATGACTAGGGAATTTTGACAACCCTTTAACCCGTCGTGTGTCTAAACGTGGATCCACGCGAGACACAATGTATTTTCTATTGTGTCTCATATACAGGCATTCAAGCGGTTAAGTAAGCTAAGTTCGTATTATAAGCTATAAATTGTCCTTTAAACTGTCAAACACCAAGCGGTCACCGGTGACCGCGACCTATTGTTCTTTAATTGTGTCTATAAAACCGGTACTCGACGAGTTAATCGAATAATGAACATCATACAGAACGTATTCAAAATTATTTTGAAGAACTTTTCAAAGAAATTTTACAGAAATCCTTTCAATTACTGTTAATTTAGAATTACTAATTAATAATGTATGGTATTATGTGTCCTACATGGCGGTAAACCTGGTGTTTAAGTTTTAAAACCTTTTTATGTATTTTTTACATTGAAGACTACCTCTAATGTAATTGGTGTTACGACTACGTATACCAAACCATCAATTGAATTAATTCTGAACTTAATATCGTATTAATCGATCCTCTAGCTAGCTTTATCAGAAAAATCTAGAATCTAGATTATTGACATTCTATCCCTTGCTATTTACCCCTATATTGAAGCATCCATCTACTTTGGCATTATGCCAGTGTCTCAGGATAAAGGGGCCACTCCGACAGGCTTTTGTTTTCGACCTGACGTGCGACCTAAGTCTCCTTAGTAGGTAGCATATCTACCACAGTCTCTATTATAGCTAAAGGTAGTGTACTAGCAATAATTACCTAACTTCAACAGACGAAACCACAAGTCATTCTAGTTAACTACAGTTTAAAAGTATTGTGGTTAAAGTATTTTAACGTTGTATAATAAGACTAATTGTCTTTAGGTACACATATAAAGTTTTTACATAGAAACATGTGTATGTTGAGTTTGTATGTATAATTAATTTATTAGCGTAACATACTATGAATTTGTAATTTAATAATGTTACTTTGTTACTGTAATATGATAAGTAGTCGCGTGCAAATGTAGGTACGTAAATGACCTAGAAATTATACCATCTAACTAAAGGATGGATTACTGGCCTTATGTGCCTAGCCTAGATTTGGTATACCTCCAAAAAATGATTTTGATTATTTAGTGTTATTCTTGGACATGACAATTTATATGAAACTTTAGAGGTAAGAAAATATGTAGCTCTTTTTTATTGTAAGGCGGAACGATGGTGAAGTTAGGAAACTGTCAGACTTTTACTCAAGGTATTTTGTGTTCGGTATTACCTTTCTTTCCTTGGGAAAATAGTCATAATATCTGTTATGTTACATCACGACACTGCAATATTCCAATTAGTTTATTGACGTAACCTTCAAAGTTTGTGACATTGTCATGGCTTACAGCTACAAATATTGCGTGCCGAAGTAACTTACCGACCCCCAAGCAGATTGCCTTGCTTTGGATCGCTGTAGGTAATATCTTCAGCGTACAGCAAAACGTAGATAAGATAGTAATTTTAAACATTTAGCATTTGTTTTTATCTTATATGGCACAGTTCTATACCTATTATAAAATTGACTTTCTTCTATGGTTTTTGCAAATAGTTTTCAAATAAGAAAGCTACCATATTGGAAAGCTTTCTTTGAATTATAAGAAGTTGATTGTAGACTGCGATAAATTGATATGAATTGAATACTGAACTGAACTGAATTTTCTGAAATATTAAGTGAGCCGGAACGTGTGCAGACACAGGTGTTTGTATGTATTTTCAGTCCATTGTGGTAAATTAAAAAGGTGAACTTTATACCATGCAATGAGCGTTTAGGCATAAGTTACTTTACGACTTAGTAATTATGTTATTGGCTTCCACCATTAACTTATAAATAAAAGCGACATATGTCAACATTATTTGTAACACGTATATCGGTTGAAATGAATAGCTGAACATGATTAGTGCTAGCGTACTGTGTGTAATTAGACGCGCCCAGTGCTAGCCACAGCCAGTTCACTCACCTTCCAATTACATTGGACGTATATTTTACTATGTTGTAGTTTCAGACTTTGACTTGTTACAAGGGCACGCTTTAGGTGTGGTTTAATAAAATAATTAAGTATTATTGATACATATCGTCGCATTAGGACGCCAGAGAAACATTGAATCTGCCATTATGTATTCTATTTTTTTTATGGGACAAGCCCGCCACAACCTCCCTAAACCGCTGCAACTCCTGTATAGCCTGTGTAGCCAGGATCTACAGTAGATACAACCATGAAAACACCGGAACACTGAAGGCAAGCACGTCCCAGGGACATGAATAACTGTCTTGGTTCCCGCAACGAACTGAATCAGAAGATATTATAAGAGGAGAAGAAAAAATACAATAGTTTCCACTTCCCTCGGTGAATTACTGCAGGAGACAGAGTGAATTAAGCCTAAAGGCACAAAGAAAAGAGACTGTACAACTGGGTGAAGCTCAGTCGCCAAGCACCACGGAAAGTTGACTAAAATCTAAGTGGGTCCTTTGTGTGAGCTGTTATACTTGCTTCCAGTAATATGTATGGCAAAAGTGCCTAAATGCACAGAAAATATGTATTCTATTTTTAGAAAAGTACGTTTAAGAACACCAACTTTAACTGCGTCTTTTTTGGGGTTCGGTTTATTAATATACAAACTAAAACCTTCTCCTAAGTGTAACCAATATTTTTTGAAAACCGCGTCAAAATCGGTTGAACCTATCGCGATATGTATAATCGCACACAAACACACATACATACATACAGGTCAAACGTCCGAACGGTGAGAACATCCTTCTTTTTAGAAGTCGGTTAAAAATGCTGAAGTATCTTTCGATAGTCTACATCCTTACTAATATTATAAATCGGAAAGTGAGTTTGTTTGTTCCACTTTAACGCCGTAACTACTAAACCGATTGCTTTGAATTTTTGCAGAAATAAAGTTACAAGTCCGGATTAAATAATAGTGTACTTTTTAACCCGGAAAAATTTGATATTCCCGAGGAAAAACAAAAGTATTGGTATAGATGGCGCTGTGTGTATTGGTATATGTCGTGGTATAGTGGTTTATGTAAGCTACTTTTTATCCTTTTGTGACGCGAGCGAAGCCGCGGGTAAAAGCTTGTAGGTTTATAAATATTCTTCCCCAATCATTATAATCATGATAGTACTAAAATATGGTTAAAGCTTTTAAAGATTAGACTATGTATTTATGTACACAACTTCTTTGAACAAGCACCTAGTTCAAACGTTTCTAATTTTAAGTTTCTTCTTGCTACGAGATTGTTCTAATTTAATATTAATTCCTACAAAGAGTAACCCGACTAACGAATGAAATTCAAGCTA